AAAAAAAAAAAAAAAAAACAACAACAAAAAAAAAAACTTTGCTTAGTTTGAGCACTTTTATTTTGTCATCTCTTTTAACAAATTGCTATTTCAAAGCTCCTATCCAGAATATTTATAGGTAATTTAGCATAGGAGCAAATCTGAAGCCAACTTGAAAGGAAAAAAAGGAAGTTCAATTGCCAGAAAACTAAGTATAAAATAGGAACACCCCATGACAAGTTTTGAACAGCCTCTTGCCACAGATTTCCAACCCCATAAATACTGGGGGTGAATGGTTTTAATCCCAAAGGCGTATTCTGCATGAATTCTGAACTTTGGATATAGAGACTTGTAGAAAAACAGAAGACCCTGACATACATGCAAGTAAAAGTCTTCTGGCAAAAATACAATTTAAAGTGATTTTTCCAGTTTTCCTCCTCCCAAAAAACTCTAGAAGATACCTTCAGTAGGCAAAGTTGAAATTTCACCCTCAGAATTTACATAGAGCACAGCAGCAGCAAATAATTATATCCAGATAATTAAGAATGGATAGTTTTCTATTATAGAATTAACTCCTGGTTTGTCATAATGGCCTTGTAGAAACCACCAAGTTTTATTATGACAAACTAATTTACCTAGCAGTTTAGTCTGAAAGGACTGGAAGCTCTGCTGGTATCAGTATCATTCACACTTGTAGAAGAATTATGTCTAACTGGTAAAACAGCATTAATGAAACAAACAAATTTCCACTGAAAAGATTTCAGAGTGTACCCTATAGTCAAAGAGTAATGTTATCAGTACCTACAAAGAAAGGAAACAGATATTGCAATTCCAGAGATCAGACTCTTAAGTTGTAAGGTAATTTAAAAATTTCCAAGGATTAGTTTACAAAATGGTCTTAAGGTCTCAACTCACAGAACAGAAAACAGAAAGATGCACGTCATTCTAATCCTTGGTAAAGCAAAGGAGTATATTATTTTTCTTTCTTCTCATATTACTGCAAATACTGATGCCTGATGCCCTCAGCTACCATCTTAAGAAACACTGAAACCATTATCTTCAAGTCTAGATGACTGTAAGAAGAATGACGTATACATGAGAAATTATGATTAAAGCTTTAAGTTCAAAGTCAAGAAACAGACTATTTTCAAAAATACGTGGTTAAGGAGAAAGAAAATATCTATGTTGAATTAAGAAATACTTAAGCAAGGTTACAAATGACTAATAACTATGCACAACAATCTTTTTCAGTATCTATTAATTTTTTTCCTTTGCAAAAATTCATTTACAGAAGTTCGACAAGTCAATCCTGTTATAAATGCTAGGCTATATATTTGTTCCAACCTGCTTCCCTTTTAGTACTAGCACTTCAATAAGTTTTTACTTTATTTTCTAAGTGTTTAAATATGTGTCATTTTAAAAGGGAGAAAGGTGGTATTTATTGTTCTCAAGATAAATGGGAATCAACAAGCCTATTTCACTTCCACGTATAGCTTCTGAATGCTATAATACTGCAGCAATTTGCAGATGGAGTGGAACTTATTTTAGAAGGAGTAAAAACCTAAAAGGTCTTGCTGAAAGGAAAATACTAGATCACTGACTCAACTATGTCAAATAAAAACTTCCTATTAGAGATTCTAAGTAATATGAACATTTAAAAATATATGCCAGTAGCCTCCCGCCCAAAATATATAGGCGTCTCATTTATGAAATTTGTCATTTATAAAGATTTATACATAAAGATTAATTTGGTGGCTTTCAGATTCAAAATTTGAAAAATGTCATGGGAATATTTTTAACCATAACAAGCAAAAAGGAAATCTCCATTTACTTCCATTCTCTGTCGCTATCATATAAGAGTGCAGAATTCAAAACAAATGCGACAGAACATTTCACCTCTTCCTGTCTGCACTACAGAGATTTGTTTTCCTTTAGTATTTTTGCCCACGGAAACCACATCGCAAAGGTATACATACAGTAGTCCAGCCACAGGTCTTTTCCAGACTATGGCAATAAAAGCAACGTTTAATTCTAATTAGCTAAAACTACTTCATTGTTCAAATGAGAGATTTGTCTGCACGGCCATTTTCATGAGGGGCAGGAGGTTGCTATCCATTTGGGTTAGCAGAATACACAACCAAGCACAGATTTACTCTGAAAATTTCCAGGACAACTTTAGAAGTTCTTGTTTACTTTTTATGCCATATATAAGACACGACACATTTATAGTCTCAATAATAAGAAAATTGAGAATTCATCAGTAAAGTGCTAACACAGAAGGGGAAAGTTGCAAGATATACTAGGGTATGCTAATAACTCCAGTTATTTTCAAAGAACATTCAGACTGCTTCAAATTCTATTCAGGAAACTATCTCTCCAAGCTTTTTTTTTCTTTTTGCCTCTTTTAAATGTGCTGAAAGCTAACTATAAAAATGGATACTTGGGGGGAAAAACTTCTCAATCTCTATTCAAACTTTCAGAATAATTTGCTTCTAAAAAATTATCAACAAATAATCCAACTAGACTACCTTCAGATGACATGGCAGATCAAATCAACTTGTTTTCACCTTTGTTTTACAGGTCTTCTGAAAGCCCTGACCCTTAATCCAAACCAAAACTTTCTGATATTTCAAAGGAGTTCAATAAGATTCTGGTATTATAAATTCAAACTCAGTACTGCCATCTGTTACATTCTGTTTAAAAATTGAATCATTTTCCTGCTG